TGTGTGTGTGTGCTTGTAAGGCGTGCAGAGCTCCGTCCGGTCGTGCGTTTTGCTATTGTCGAGAAAATCAGAGGACAAGTGTGTAAGTGTACAACAGCGCGACACCCTTCTTCGAGCACTCATCGCACCCCCCGTGTTGGACGATACGTGTACGACGAGGGATAAAGTCTCTCCTCTCCACCACCACCTCCACCTCATCTTTCTTCTTCATCTCCTCCTTGTTCGTATAATCCGATCGAAAGGATATAATATATATATATATCTCCAACTGCACGGCGTTTGGGCTGCAAAGAGAAAGAGAGGAAAAAAATAAAGGAAGAGATATGGGGGGATTTAAGTAAATAGTGTATACATTTTAAAAGTCAAGCAAGAGTTATCCTGCAGTCGGTGTGCGAGTAATTTTTTTTTTTTCCCCTTTACAATTAAAAAGGGTTAAACGTCACTCTGGTAAACGTCAATCTCTGTAGACTGTATTTCCTTTTCATTTTTTTTTTTTTTAATCACCCGCAAAAGCCAGTGTGTGTATGTACACGGCGGTGTGTATATGGCATCTGCACGCATCCCGTGAAAAAACCGGGGAAAAAGAAGGAGAGAAGGAGAAATAAAAAAAGAGGCGTCAGCTTGAACCAGCAGCAAATCGGCGCTCAAATTAATCTTAATACATCGTCGAAAAAAGAAAGAAAAAAAAAAAAAAAAAGGCCAAAGTTTCAGCCGTTAACAAGACTATATACGGGAGCGTCGCTGTGCGCGCAATAATTATTCTCTGCGGCGTGTATGTAGCGTGTCGCAACGAATACGACTTGATAGATCGGTATCGCGCGCGCGCATGTCGTATGGACGCGGAAAAAGGCCGGCTGCTGATGTCCTGGAAAAAAAAAGAAAAGAAAAGAAAAGAAAAGAAAAAAATACATACATATATATCAATAATGATGTTGCGAGAGAAAGAGAGATGGGTGGGGGGGGGGGAGGAGAGGNAAGAAAAAAAAAAAAAAAAAAAAATTGTATCACTACAATATGAATAGAATCAATTGGTACGTCGAGTCAAACACTCATTCATTTGCATAAATATCGTGTTCTTTCGCAAAAATGACACTTGAGTTTGATCTTTTCGATGTACAATAGCAACGCATTTCTATAATAATAGTTACCTTTTGAGATGAAACTCCAATTATTCGATTTTTATCGATCTGTAGGCTAAAAGGTAAAATGACATATATAAGTTTAACGTTGTATCAGTATAGTTAACAAATACCTCGAATGAAAGTAAATTAGTTGACATAGGGATTTATCGTGTAAATCGTTGGGGCAGGTATTTCAGGTTGACAATCAGAGGTCTGTATAACCGCGTCGACCCGATAGAAGAGAACAAAGAGGCAATTTTATCAAAAACATAGTACATGTATATAACAATCGAGGAAAGCAAACACAAAAATAAGCCCATATCAGGCGAGCGAAAGGCTTTGTAAATCAGGATTCAATATAGCGACACATGTTTAGCTACAGTTCTCTCAATATAACGTTCGTATCACTGAGTATACACTGTACCCCGGGGTAACAAGTGCCCTGTCAAAGGAGCATATCATATTTTTAATCGCGCCTTATCTTTTTAATGAAATCCATTGATCGACCGTTAAAAGACATATGTAATAAACCTACGTGACAATGTGTGACGTTTATGAAGTTCGATTTGTTTTGGGAAAAAAGGTAAAATACTGTTCTTACACCTATAACTATTTGTAGTTGAAGAAATTGCCAATACAAAGTATGTACTTTAAATTCATCATTAAATCAACGTAGAAGAAAATTTATTTCAGAAATGGTAACATTTTCTGTTAAACAGACACGATAAATTATTCCACTCGGGAGTGTTGATAGCAAATGTACAAAAAGGTACAATGTTTATTTGTACATCTGATGCATTTGAAGAAAAGTTTGCGAATTTGCGTGAAAGCATAAAGATGTAACGAGCAAAAATTTGCGAAAATTTACTTACAAAATTCGTCTTTTTCTCGGATAACTACACGTAGAAAAGAATTACAGGAATTTTTACCGTAAAAGCAACGGTAATCCTGTGATAATTTGTCATTACGTAAATTTTTACCGTAGGTGCTCATGAATTTTCACCGTAGTAGTTTACAGTAATTTTTATGGTAACTGTAAAATTTATTCCAAATTCACTATAATTTTTACTGCATGGCAACGGTAAATTTTCCCCTGAAAGAGTATATATAGCTATAGGCTGCAGGGTCACGTATAGGCTGGAGGGGAAGGCCGAGCACCTGATCAGTTGTCTGCTAAAGCGCGGACTAACCTACAAATTGTATACTTGTGCGGATATTTGCATTAATAGAATTGGTATACTTAACGAATTGTTGGACACATAGTACTCCTTCGCTTACAGCCATTCATTAAAGATACCCGTTCTTTCATCTATACGTTAATTTTGGTAATACAGATGTTACGTCTATCTCGTTCTCTCATAAGTACAGATTATATATAGCCCACTACAGTAGACATCTGGTCAGCCTTTCCCTACAGCCCATAGCTATAAATGCACTTTCAGGGGAAATTTTACCGTTGCCATGCAGTAAAAATTATAGTGAATTTTGGATAAATTTTACAGCTGCCATAAAAATTACTGTAAACTACTACGGTAAAAATTCATGAACACCTACGGTAAAAATTTACGTAATGACAAATTATCACAGGATTACCGTTGCTTTTACGGTAAAAATTCCTGTAATTCTTTTCTGCGTGTATATACGATTCTACCCTCTTTGTTATATATGTATAAATTTGATGTGAATATAGTTAAAATATTTTCTCAAGTTTAAAAAAATTAGCTTTAATCCAGAGAAACCGCACACTTTTCATTAAATTTCTTTTACCTCCATACCCATTTATAGATATCTTTTTTTCCACGCATACCTACCTCATGTGTTTTTCGAGGCTGCCAAACTAACGGCACAGCATGGGATTCTTCGTATAGGGAAGGTGATGTGCCGCAAAACTGTTGTTTCTAATTTTGGTCCCTACATTGTCATATACATACGTCCCATGATTTTTCGGAGGCACCGACATAACGCGGAATACAATAATTGCTTCGAACAACGAGGGAGGAGGGAGAGTATCGTATATATATATATACACATGTATGAGACCAAAGCCTTTTACAAGATCACCAACACGTGTATCGTACGTAAAGATGTGCAGCAAGCAACGTTGGGCTATAATAATGCCTCAAGAATACCTCGCGGTGATCGATGGGGAGCGATTGAGTCGTAATATCGGAGGCCGGTATCGCGCCAACATCTGTCGCGATCACATATTATATGCGTATATATATATATATGTGTGTACACGGGGCGCGCGAGAGTTTTGTTATGGAGCCGCGGAATTGAGCGGGCGCGCGCCTTTTATTGCACACGTAGGTACACACACTTACACCTTCTTCTTCGTATACATATATAATAATAATAATAATAATAATACACACGTGTGCACGGGCATAAATGCGAATGAAGAATAAGCACAATATATTATACATATTATACACGGGGCGTATATATATATATAACGCGCGCCCGTAATCGTATTCAAGCGTATACGCGTGTAGGTATAGAGGTACACATAAAAAAAATACAAATAAGTGGCCGGCCGAAAACTCATACAATAAGCTCCTTGTGTTTAGTACTATACCACCCCCCCCACCCTTCTATTTACATACACCCCACATCGGTTGCCTGCTTATTTTAATACACACCTATACCTACGCTCAACATATTGGTGGGGGTGCTTTTCGGTAAAATCGCGTTTCGGTATGTAAAATCAATGACTCGGGCATTCGTACGCCCTACATTTACGTACGTATAGACATATTTATATTGTATGTTTTTTCTATTATTGTTCATCGAAATTTTTTCATACATTGTTACTCGTGCAAATAACGGGATTCGTATATGTTTTAATAAAAACAAAAAGTACCCTCGTATACTCAACCCACCTTTCAGACTCGCTAACTCTAATTACGGAGAGAGAGAGAGAGAGAGGGGATTGGAAAATGTGTAAAATCTAATTTTTTTTTTTTTTTTTTTTTTTCTTTCATCATCCCCTTTGTGGTGAGCACACGAATATTCATACATCCCTCCCATATACCTCCGCTCTAATATTGACTTTGATTAAGTCCGGCATCGAATCAACCTACCTACTTATACACCGCACTCTGCATATATACTACGTAGGTACACGCGCTTGAACCGAAGATTTGAAATCCTGCGAGGCAAACATGCTATCGTATATTATACATGTGCCGATGACGTCGAGGAGCTGCAAACGAAAGTAACGTGCACACGCGTGTGTGCAGGTGATGGAACAACGAGTACGATTTTGCCGATGATTGAAAATTTAAAAAAAAAAAAAAAAAAAATGATGGTAAAAAAAAAGCTCCCTCCGATACGGAAGTGAAAATATAGAAAAAGCGCTCTCTCGTAGGAGGAGGTCAATGAGTTTCGCTCGCATCGACAACAATGTTCTGAATATCGGTTCACTTTCTTTTCTCGAATTTCAACCGTGCTGTGCAAGAGGGGGAAAAAAAAAAAAAAAAAGAAAATCCTCGCTCGCTGCAAAACCAATCTCTACTCCTCTGACCGTGGTTTTCACGCACTGCGGAGCTCAAGCAAAGAGAGGGGGGGGGGGGAAAGCATCATTTAAACTTGACCGGCGCACCGGACCCTTATATATACTTATAGCGCGCCATCTCTCTCAATATTTGTACTCATCATCTCGCCGAGCCTTTGATCCCCCGCCCACAGTTTCCCCGTCTTCCATCGATCAAATGTTTGCGCGTGTTCTAATGTACAGGTATATATTATCCACGTGTGCACAATGCGCGGCGAATTTCCGTTTTGACGATGTGCTCCCGGATTAGGGTGTACGCGGCGCTGGCCGCCTATAAAAGAGCTCGGCCGGAGCGCGAGACCTTCCAGAGTCCGATTCGCCAGCCCCGGGATTTCGGATCGCTTCGTTTTTATACTACGTGCACGTACAGCAATTAACGGTTTTTTTTCTTCTTCTTCTTTTTTCCTTCGCTCCTCCATGCGAGTTCATCCCTCGCTCTGAGGTTTCAGTATATACGCGCGTTATTGCCGAGGAAGAAAAAATATAGCATACATCATGACGAAGACGATCGCTTACCGGTTTACCTTTCTCGTTTGCGTGCTGTGCTACCTTCAGCTGGCAGTCGCTCAGGTACGATGAACCTTTTTTTTTTTCTTTCCCTCTCGTAACTCAATCTTGGATTCATGATTTTTCGGGCAATCGTTTCATCCCATCGTGTTTCGATTGAAAGTAATGTGTGTGCGCGCGATGATTTTTCAAAACCATTAATTTTTCGATTTAACCGTGAGAACATCGGGAGCGTTTTTATTGCAGTTTTTTTTTTTTTTTTTTTGTATTTCTTTGGAAAATCAAGAACTCTCATTTAAATAATTTTTTTTCTTTCTTTTTTTTCACGGTTTTTGACCAATTAATTAATTATCCATCAACAAGTGCTCCCACTTTTCTAATTGTACCTATTAATCGTTGAAAAACGCCCACTTCCAGAAGAGCATACTTGTTACGTAAATGGTAATCGATGTAACTCTTTTTTTTTTTTTTTTTGTCATATAACCTTTTTAAAAAACAAGTACAATATAGGAACGCTTTATCTTCGCTTGGAAAGAGTAAAGTAATAACTCGATGAAGCGTTGATTGAAAATTCGAAAAACTATGTAGCTCAATTGTACGCGATGTAAAGATTTCAGACGAGCTGTTATGCGTTGTAAAACTCGAGTTGACTTTTGAGTTTTGGTTAAATTTTATTATCATGCCCTTCCCGCGATTAAATGAAGTTATAAGCGATGCACTGGAGTTGTGAAGTAATTTTGGGCCCACGTGGCATACCTGGGACTTTTTATTTTTTCTTTACGAGGGAGGGCGAGGCAACGCAAGACGGAAAAGACGAGCTCCACACCCTGCAGTTTGCTTAAAAAAATGCTTCGTGGAGCGGTGCCTGTTGGACCAAAACCTACGCACGAATAACTCCTTAGGATTAAGAATATAAAGAGAAAGAAAAGAAAAAGAAAAAAAAAATTACGTTTACTCATCGAATCGGCTTACGCGCGTGTTTAGGTGACATTTTCAAAGGGCTGGGGTCCGGGGAAGCGAGCGGCCCTCTACGACGACGACTGCAGGGTCAACTCGAAAACTCTGACGCTGATGTTTCACACCTTGATGGTATTAAAATCATTGTACATTGATTTTCAAATGTATACATACATGTGCACGTCCCCCCCTTCCTTTTCTCCCCGCGCGGAAATTAATCATTTTGCGTCTTGTTTGCAGGCCGAGCTGAAGCGTCTGATGGCTTGCGATCATCAAGCGACGGTCAACTACTTGCAGAGCGTCGAGCACTGAGTAGTATATACATTTACCCATCATTATATTAGTACACGGAACGATTCGGCAAAACTATTCAAAGAACGAGTAATCCCCTGTCAACCCACACGCATGTATTTACTTGAACGATCAAGCTTTTGTGTAACGTCGTTATACCTAATCATGTAGCTGCAAAGAAAATATTTTTCGGTTCAACATGATAAATCAGTACAACGTTACTATTCGTTTGGTAATCCAGTAAGTCTGTCCTTATGATGTTGTATTGGTATTGAGAAAAAAAAGAAAAAAGAAAAAAAAATGAACAAAGCCGAAAGGTGGATTTTTTTTTGTATGAATAAAAAGTTTATATGTATAATATGCGTTATAGTACAGTGAGATATTCACATAATATATATATATATATAAAATAAATATTTAACAGCGGAATATCCGTAATTATTTTCTTTCGTTCTCTCTCGTTTCAACAACACATCCCTAAACAATTTAGTTAGCCGTTAGTCGAGTATAGTATTCTATACGTGGGCGTAGCTTAAACAAAAAAAAAAAAAAGTTCATCAAACAATGTCTACCGTACTGCACCAAGACTACACAGTGACCCCAATGTCTCCGAGTATCTCCGAGAGCTTCTCCAGATGTCGGTTGACCTGGGCGTACTCCTGTCGACTGCGAGCAATCAGCTGTAGGGCGTTCATGTACTCGAGCTCGGTAAACTGTGGCCCATGCTCCAGGACGCCGCTCAACAGTTCCTCGGGCGATTCGTTAAACAGCTCAAAGTACTGGCGCGCATAATCGAGGGCCAACTCGCGCGTCATCGTTATATTGGTCAGGGTCTGCTGGAGCGTGAACACGTTGCGACACATCTTCTGCACGCCGCTCTCGTCTATGCGTTCGATGTACTGCGCCGAGCTTATCAGGATTTTCGCGATCAGATGGCCCAGACCCTCGAAAATGTACTGCGGGCAAATTTTTTTCTCGTCTCTTATCGATATTATGTAAGATGCGCGTTGAAAAAAAAGAAGCCTTTTTTTGGTTCATTGTTAAATTCACGATTGAGTCTCGCTTCTACATTTTTTGTTTTCAATTTAATTTGTCTATTCTCATTAAGATGATAATTATGATGGTTTACGTTGGCGAGCAGAGAATGTCAAATGTATTTGTTAATCGAATAACAAATAAAGTGAAATGAAAACATTTTTATCGAAACTGTTTCGTTATTACCTTGCTCTTTTTTGGATGAAGAGTCGATTGCAGAGATTCATCTATGTGCTGCAGCACCCTGCTTAGTTCCTCGACGCGAGGATCCGGCTCTTCGGGATCCTTTGTTCCTCTGCACAAAAGATTTACGTCACCCCTTGGATGCAGATAATAAAAGCACTGAACTCGAACCTGACGTTGAAAATAAACAATTTTCTCTCGTAACTTGCATTTGGTTATTATTTTCGAAATATATGAAATTTTTTCGTTAATTCATCACCTCCAAATGTAAAACCAATATACAAGTATTGGCGAGTTCGTCGTAATCCTTGGCAACCTGCTCCAGACACTGTACAAGAGGATCAGGCATAGGCGGTAGGGTATTGGAGTCCAAGTTGCGTTCGCGATTAGACTGACGCAATTCTTTGATCAAGGAGCGAATAAATAGAGCGAGCCATTCGATACTCTCTTGCAGCAAGGCCAAACTCCTCAGTTTATCGATATCGGAAATTATTTCATTCGCGGCAATACCACCCTCGCCCAAATTACTAGCTAAAATTTCCGCTTCCCTGATATTTCGCAGCCGAATGTCTTCCGGGCTCTCTTCATCTTGAGTCTCCTGCCTTCTTGGAATCCGACGACCGGATGGACCTTTCCGGTAGAGAGGTTCCTCGTTCTTCATACTCTCCCAATTGGGTAGAGATCTGATGTTCAATGTTAATAATCGCAATTTACATTTACTCCAGAAAAATACATTCAACCACAAAAACACACTTACTTGATGAACCTGTTGATGTCTTCGTCTTTGAGCCAAGCAGCAGAACAAATGAGCCTATCGTGGCGGTCAGGCTGAACGATACTCCGATAAGTTTCCTGGCACGTTTCGCGATAATTGTGCAGAACGTTTAGGGTTAATGTACAAAAATGTTCACCCTGCAGGGGCAATGCTATAATGAGCAATCGCAACTCTGCCACACACTGTTGAACTTTTACTGTGCTCTGATTGAAATATCGTCGTCGTCATTATTGATTACAAAGATTGTTATTGTTATTGTTGCGTCCGTATTTTAAAAAAGGTATACCTGCAGCAACGGCCTGATCAGTCTTAGGTCTTTCATTTGTTCAGGAGAAGTGGTAGCACGCCATGCGTCCGTGCTCTTTGTGGCCGTCTCGATAGTCGTTGCAACCAATACATGGTGCCTTCCGAGGTAAACCTCTTTCACATAATCTGCCAAAAAGTTACTCAAAGTACACGATGGACTCCTGCAATTGAAGACTTTGATTAAATTACGAAAAAAATTTCCTCATTATTTCAGCGCGTTAAACAAACTTACCCGGAAGGGATACCTAATGCTCGTTCAACATCTTCAATGAATTGCATTATTGGCCTAAATATGAGTGTTATGTTATTTGGATCAGGCTTGCAAACTAAATTTTTCTTCGACTTTAATTGCTTGTTATCCTGTTGATTATCAATTCATGTCATCTCGTAATTAAATTTATAAGTGATTTTAACAATTTTTTTTTTTTTTTTTCAAATACTCACTGTAAACGTAAGGCTACTGTATCTATGATCCTTAAGATAATTATTTAAAGATATGGCGTGAGTTGACGAGTCAAACTTAAAAAGTAAACCATTTTTCTGTCGTTGAGGCTTTTTCTTAGCAAAGTACATATTAATATCATTGGTTTGTTCATTTAGCGATAATGTGGCCTGGAATGATCCATCAACCACATTTTGTACATCCAAGTACTCAGTAAGCAATATTTGTAACTGAAATAAATTTAATACATTAATACATTAAGCTGGTCAATGACGTAAAAAATATGTTTTGTAAGATTAATGATTTTTAATTTACTGCAGCTTGAATGCCATTCCATACGTCCGCCATTTCATATACAAGCACTTCTACATTATGCTTTTTAGTTACATGAGCGAATCCACACAGAGCTGTAGAGTGGTTAGTAATAACTTGTTGAAAGCGCGAAAAAATTTCATTAAGTAAATCAAGAAGAGGAGATTGACTTGATGGCTCTCCAGTATTTACATCTTGGACTTTGATATTTACATGTGCTTTTTTTTTGTCCAATGATTCCTTAACAGTTTTAGAGGCTTGCTCAATAATTCTCAGCAGTTCGCTTTGCATTTGCGTTTTAATGACCTGTAATTAAGAAATTTTATCATTTAAAAACTGTTTGCACCAAAGTATCGGTAAATAAAATTTTTATAGTATATACTTCGATTGCTTCAGGTATTTGACTTAGCAAAGCTAGGCACTCGATAATGGCTAGAAAATGTTCAGGATTTTCTTCAAGGTTCAAATTATTTTCATCATCCATAAGATTATTAAGATCGTCTAGCCCTGCACTACTTGTTTTTCTCGAAACTTGACCAGAAACGAATCCTGGTATGGTAACATCAAGTAGATTCTTTTTTACTTTGCTACTCTTTGAGTTGCGCATCTCAATCCCACGTTGAAAATCTCTGTTAGAACCCTGTCTCCTCAATCCGACTTCTTTCACTTGTTCTTTGTACAAATGTTTATTCAACTCTTCTAACAACTTACTGATTAGTTTTTGCTTTTTTATTTCTATGTCAGCCCTAACTTCCCTTAAACCTTCCACTTCTCCCAAAACACCACCGCTCAACGAAATCGCAGTAACAACCATTTGGGTTGCATGTAAATAATGCTTCTTTTCCAAATGAGTACTCAATTTGGAAGGAATCTCCTTTAATTGGTCACTGAAATAGTTTATATAATGTTGAAAAATTGCTTGAAGATAATTATTAGAAAATTTGAAACTTACACATCATTGAGCAGTTGTAAAACATATTTATGCTCAACACCTTCTAGCCAGAGTTTCATCAGTTCTTCCCTTCTACAGTTGAGCAACTGTTTACAAGCATTTAAATTTTCTTTGACAGAGTGAATTTTTTCCCGAGCTGCTGTGACTCTTTCATATAATTCGCTAAATATCTGGAAAGTAAATACAAGTAACGATTATACTGCAAAGTACTCACTGTATAAAGAGCATTCAAAGAAAATAAGAGAAAACTCACTCTCATAACCTCCAGAAGATCAGTTTCATGAAGCGAAACTAGTTCATCGAGCCTTTGATCGCACCTTTTAAAGTCTTTTTCAAGCTTAGCCTTTTCGATCTCACGCTGCTCATTAGTTTCACTGGCAGATAGTGCACGAATCACAGATATCAATAAACCACTCTGCAATTACAAAACGATGGCCATGTAAGTTACAAGTGTGAATGATACTTATAAATAACGAGATGAATCTCTGCTGCTCCAGAAATATTAACCAAAAAAAAAAAGAAAAAAGTGGACTCCACTCTAACGAAAATAAGTAAATTGCTAAGATCAAAATACAACATAAATATTTTGGAGCAACTCTGGTCAAACATTAACGATTTCTCACCGTCTCCTTTGAGGGTTTTATGCCCCGAGGAGGTTTCACAGGAGGTCCACTACTCCCTTCCATGATGATCCTTAAAGTCCAGGTAGAAATTTAATCGACCAGATTTTCTGCAGCATTTTTTCAAAACAGTAAAATTTCAGCTGAACCCGTACACGACTTGTCATTTGGGTTGAGATGTGTTACGTTTTAGTTACACGATGTGTGAGAGAGAGGAGAGGTGCCGGGAGAGTGTAGTTAGTGCAGCCACCACAACATAGCTATTCCGTAATAGGGGGAGGTTTCACTCTGATGACAAGTAAAACACTGATTAGCCATTAATTCGATGATTCTTCGATGGACCGATCATCACCAGCAGTTTGCAGTGCCCACGATCTCAGGATGAATGAGAGTGATCCATGCACTTTGAATAAAATGACAATAAACAATAAATTATTTTTGTGTAGTCTTTAAATGCAGAGGGTTGCCAAATTGAATACGAATAAGCGCGCGAGTAATTTTACGAAATTTCTTGTTAAAAAATTGTATACATATTATTATACTCATATCAATTGGCATATGTTCTCATGAATAATTATAATTATTGCTTTCATTTATCGTTTACTACGTTATAATATATGGTATACAAGTTGAATGTGATTTATCTATCCGCCCAGTTGACGATCATGTAAAGCGTTTTTACATACGTACGGCATTTAAATGACTAAACATAATATAAATTATTTAACAAAAAAGAATAAAGTTTTTATCGACAAGTTGTTATTATCATGGAAAAATAAGTTAGAAAAAAATATATGATAACATTGATCCAGTGACCAGTTAGTTATCACACACATATTTTATATTACATATACAGGTATGAAAATGTGTTCAGCTCAATAAAATACACAACAGCTGCTTGAGCTGCTCTGAAAGCATATAATCAGAGATTAAAATTGTCCTCCTGTAAGAGTCATACGTTGAATAATTTATATTGTTTTGTTACTTTGTTGTTGCAGTTGTTGATTTTTTTTCACGTGATGTTATTTTACTTGTAACGCTTGCATTAAACTTGTTTGGTGTGGTGGTAAAAAGGTTATACACAAAATCAGGAACATTGTTTTTTTTTTTCACTCATATATACCCATTCGCAACTTTATTGGAATTAAATTGCCACAAGTTGTACCTGTTGTTGTTGCATAATATTGTCCCATGAGAATAAAAAGTACGTCACAAAATGTCAACTAGATATTTGAAAAAGGTTTATGGCAATGACATTGATGTAGAGAAAAACCAAGACGAGTCGTCGGAGTATGAATCGTCTGATCAAGAACTTAGGGCAGGGAGGCAAAAAAATTTCAACGTTTTCAATTTGGTAAGCAATTGATGAAGTTATTGACGTAATTGTAATTTTACAATGATATTGTTCAACTCTTGTAGTTGAACGACAATCCCGATAATGACGCGGAATCTGTTGAAGAACCAGAGGTTAAGGATGAAGAAGAGGAGGAGGTCTGCGATAAAAAATCAAAGAGTAAAAAAAAGAGAAAAAAGCAAAAAAAGTCTCAGAAACGAAAAGAGCAAAAGGAAAATCACGAAACTGATGATGATGAATCGCTGGATGAGATTGACAGAACTGTCAAACAAATAAATAAGTTGTTAGGAGAACCAGAGCCAAGTACCAGCTCAGCTTTGGCTGATCATTTGCAGGGACGTCTCGTTACAAAGTCAAAAGAAAAAATTTTGGTTGTCCAGCATAAACACTTGAATCCTTACAATGAACTCAAGAGAATATTTGGTAGTAGAACCATACAAGCTGAACAAACGTTAGTGTAGAGAATCAGGCCCATTTTTTTATGTTTTAATTGATTCATTGTAAGAGCCATTTATAAAATCTGTATTATTTATTGTAGTAAACCAAGGACAAAGGAACATACTGGGCACTTGAAAAAGACTTGGATGGTTATGATACGGGATAACTTGTATCCTGCAAGAAAATCTGGAATAACTATGACATTGGACAAGACTATGGATAAAACTGGTGTGCAGTATTTTGTTTACGAGCACAGTTCTTCATACCGACAAGTGCAACAAAAATTCATCAACACTGTAGAAAGTCTTAATCCAGAAAACATTATTGTAAGTGACGATTCTTACGATGTGCTTAAAACCATGTAAAAACATGTTTGTTTTGTTGAGAGTAAAATTTACATTTTAGAGCATTGTCAATGCACATCCATACCATGTGGACAGTCTGCTTCAATCTGCGGAAATTTGTAAATTAAGCGAAGAATTAGCAATGGCAGCTAGTCTCATTGAGAGAGCATTGTTTTATTTAGAATATGCTTTCCATCCCTTGTTCAATATGACAACAGCCACTTGTCGAATAGATTACAGAAAACAGCAAAATCGTGCCTTGTTTATAACATTATTCAAACACCTCATTTTAGTTGGTGGCAGAGCATGCTACAGGTAACTTGAAATGACGTATGACAATAAATTATAATTTAAAAAATTTTGATAAATGTTTGATTCACTTTACAAAAGGACAAGCTTGGAATTGTGTAAGTTTTTATTATCTTTGGATCCTGAAGAAGATCCATTGGCTGCTGTATTGATGATAGACTTTTATGCCATAAGATCTAAAGAATACGAATGGTTTTGTGAATTCTGTGATCTATGGGAGAGCTCAAAAAATTTGCAACAACTCCCAAACATCGCCTACAGTTTGGCTCTAGCACACTTTTATTTAGGAAAACAAGAAAGTGCAGATGAGCTTTTACAAAACGCACTCATCATGTTTCCAGGTGTATTAATACCCCTGTTGGATAAATGTAGTATAAATCCAGATTCAAAGGTGATTATGAAAGTCAAGTTTAAAGTAAGCTAAAAAATGTATGTGAACTTTTCTATAAATAATAATTTCGATATTTTGTAGGTCATGGGTCATGATCACTTTATGATAAAAGCAACCACAAGTACTTCACCAGCATTAGAAAAATTGCAACTCTTGTACGTTTCACGTAGTTATCATTTATGGAAAGAAGTCGACATTTTACCGTGGTTCGAGAGAAACGTTAATTCAGTTCTTCAGCGAGTAGATGCAAAAGACGAATACGTCAAGTTTTGTGAATTTAAACGAAGTAGACGCTATCAAGGGAGGTTACCCAGAAATATTTTAAGGCACTTGATCCTATCAGATTTGAAAGATGCCCCGGTTAATAGTCAAGAGGTAAGGCTTGAAGGCTTTTTTAATATGCAAAATAATTTACTTCACTTGAATTATTAAAATTTTTAGATGCAAAATGAAGGACCAATTTTGTCTCACGATCCTTTGCCCCCGACAAATTCGATTGATATTTACAGCAAGCCAAGAACCACAAGGACAACCAATCCAAACAATTCGAATTTATTGTCGCTATTTTTCTCCTCTATCTTCATAGATTTAGAAGCAGATGTGATAGGAGAAGCAGCTGGTGCCAATCGTCAAAAGTAAGAATCAATTTATTTCTCATTATACCTTATTTTAATGAGTTTTCTGTTTTTTAGTGAAAACCGTGACAATCGTGGTGATCGTGAAAATCGTTATCAAGAAGAATATGATTAATACATTATTCCTGCTAACGTCACAAACTTCAAAGCATAATATTTTTTACTACAAAATCACTGTTATTAAGTAAGCATTTGGTTGAATAGTTTATTGATTCGTGAAAAACTTTTGATTGATTAGTATGTATATAAAGTGATTGAAAAACAGCATGTTTTAAAAGGTAATATGATAGTATTCACTTTCAAAGTGAATTTTTAGGTAAAAAAGTTTGCTGAAGATCATAACTTTTTAATCGAATTTTAAGAAAAAACATCATTAAAATCTACTATTTACAAATATTATAAGTGCGCATTTATTAGTGATTTTCGTTCATATAAATCGGGCTTTAGATATTAAAACTTTAATAAAACTGTAGACTTTAATAAAAAAAAAAGATTTAGCTTAAATCTAGTAAATGCTTGGCCACTCTGAAAGTTGAAAGTTGTTTCCAGTTATGAGCAGTCATTAGATTCGCGATCATCTCTGTTACCTAAATGAATCGTTCATTGCACTCTTGACTCTTTGACTTTATTTCTAAATCATGCTACGGAACACGGGATTGTAACGACATATTGCTGGGCCGTGTTCTTGATAATCAGCTTTCGTGTGACACACTGTGTAAAATTCGGGATCACTCGCCAACAAAGCTCCACCATACCATACGGCACAGCGTTGCTTGTGGTGTGATATTACACGAACATCAATTGGCTTTGGCTAAAATGAAAAAAAATAATCAATGGAAACAGTCGAAAATAGTTGATTTAAAAATTATACTTAAAAAAGAAAGAGTCATACAGTGATATGTCCACCACTCAAATCTGTGCTCAGTTTCAAACGAGCATCAACTGTTTTTTTTATATCTCTTTGCAATCTTTTCCCAAATCCTTTGAACATGGTAGAACCACCCGACAATACAATATTATTATACAAAGGCCTTCTAACGTCAATGGGGCAGTTTTGGATAACGTCATCTACTATTTCATCGAGAGGCGTCGTAAAATCTGGATTAGAAAACTGAAAGAGAAATTTTATTAAATCATAAATTATTTTTATTGATTTTAATGAAGAAAGAAACTAATTGAGAAAATACCTCAGGATGAAAGAAAATTTCTGGTCCAAGAAATCTTTCATATCCAACATCCACACTAAACGGTTGTTTGGTAATATTATTAACACCATCATATTTTGCAAATTTGCTAGGATCACTGTCAAATTTTGCAAATTCTTTGGCAATATCGGGACAAATGTAACAGTGCTTCTCTTTGATTGTCTTTGCTGTTTCCAAAGATTGCTCAGGAGGAATTCCGATTTCCCTGTCTCTCAAGAGACTTTGAATAAAGTACGTAATATCTCGACCAGCGATTGGAATGTGCTTGATACAGCTACCAATAACAAAACCCTCTGCCTAAAATCGAATATTAATGGTTTTTTTTTTCCTCTCTCTCTCTCTCTCTCTCTCTCTTTTAAAATCTATTTTTTCTTTTTTTTTCAACTTACCACTGGAATTACGTGAGTCACTCCATCACCACTGTCGATAACAATGCCAGTCAAACTCCTGTCTTCAACGTTTTTTGGAGTCCAAGAAGCTGCAATAGCTAATATTGCCTGGACAGCAATGTACAGTCCAGAAACATTAAATGACTCAAACATTATTTCAGCTGTATATTCGCGATTTTCAGGAGTATTTAGAGGAGGCTCTGTCAACAAAAAATAGTGGTCCTCTGGCTCAGCCCTCAAATATTTAAATATACATTGTTGAAGAAAACGTTCCATCAGATCCCAGTCCTCAACTAGACCATGCCTAACTGGATACTAGAGTTGTAAGGAGAGAAAGCAACAATCACCATCATATTAATAAGATTTGTTTATATCAGAAAAAACAATATTTTACCTTGACCGCATAACCAGTGGCATCAAAAGCTTCATCTCCAATGTAAAAATCTAAATCCTCGATACCTTTGGTCACTCGCCTTGTAGAATTATCTCCAACTTTGGCAGTCTCTTTAATTGCTATTGCAGAAGGTATCATAAGCTGCGGTTCTTTGTTGCCAGCAAAGCCCAGCTTGGTGTATCTGAAGTAAAAAAAAAAATCTTAAAGTAACCAAGTAAAATCAACAGAGATGGAAAAGAAAACAGATACAACTTATGTAAGTACACAGAAAATGTCAATTAGGAGTGTTTAGAATGGATAACTTCTAATTTATTAGAAAACGATGATTTTGAATTGCATAGATAACGAATTAAAAGTCTTTCCGGTATTGTTGTATATAAGTACATTATTAACAATCGATCACCACACCTAGAGGATTTTTTTTACCTATTATGGGTATCAGGTTATTAGTCATTGCGTATATACGAATAAAATGACACATATCAATGAAAGAGACGAGCGTTACAGTAGGTGATCAAAATGTTTTGGAAAATCTATACTTAGAATACAAACAACTTACCCCGTTCCCACGTCGATGACGCATGGAGGTAGCAGACACGAAGACATGACTCCTCCCTATAATTCCCCAGGAGGTGTCGAAATCAACAAATGCACGTCTCCCGGTAAATGTCAGATGAGTAACGTACAAACTTTCAAGTCCAAAAGAATAAGATTGAGCGTCACCACTCTAGATAAATGTAAGACTACAGTAGAGACTGGAATCGGCTTCGTAATTTCGTATTCGTATAACTTGAAGCACTCCACCCTCGGCAGCAGACCACTCCCCGGTCCCCGCGATCCTCACCGGTAACTCAGCTGACACACCATCCGTACCGACGCTCTGCTTCGAAATATTTTACCACAGAATTGTATCTCTCGCTTGATCACAGGTAGTCGTTTTTATACTTATTTTGTCAGAAATTCATGCAGTTTTATCAATTTAAAGCCAACAAGTTGAGAAAAAAAAACAATCTCTGAGATAATAAGATAACTACTTGATAGTTTTCAGAACTTCAAAATATCTTGAATGAAAGCGCCAAGTAACGAATTGGAAAAAGAAAAGTGCAGCAGCGCCGCAAATGTTGCAATGAGAACCACTTATGAGAGTTGAGAGAGGTGTGTACACGATCTTCGTCCGCACAGAGCACACGTCAGCTCTGTGTTCTCGCACTGTGTGCACAAACAATCAACATTATTATAACTTTAAATACGGTCCCTTTATCGCAATAGTGTCGGCATAACGTAATGTTAAATCTGGAACATTGTCCAGGAGAAGTAAAATAGTGGCTCTCCACCGGGACGCCTCGATCTGTTTTTTTGACTAGTTGATTAAAAAAGTTCGCATGCCAAAATGGTAAGAGTACATACTGTACATACGTGTGCATTTAATGACGTTAAAAAGTGTGTAACTTAAATCTCTCCAACTCCGAAAAGTGAAGCAAATTGTTCTCGGTTTACTTGATTGTTTCAATATTTTTCAACATTTTTTTTTTTTTTTTTTGCAGGTACTTATTTCTGCTGCAGTATGTACCAAAGGGGGCAAGAGTAAGCGCACAAAAAACCTCGAGTTTTTGGGTTATCTGTTCTCTTGTGTCTATTCTTTGATGTTTATTTGGAATTTTTATTTTTCACAGCTCTCATCTCCCGACAATTTGTCGAAATGACGAAGGCAAGAATAGAGGGTCTGCTCGCTGCTTTTCCAAAGTTGATGAGTTCGGGTAAACAGCATACATTCGTCGAGACGGATTCTGTACGATATGTGTACCAGCCACTGGAGAAACTTTACATGCTCTTGATCACAACGAAAGCTAGCAATATTTTGGAAGATCTAGAAACACTGCGACTCTTTGCAAAAGTGGTAAGCTTGCTGCATCCACAGCTGGGTATTAACACTCAACGACCACATTACTTTGTTGACGCGTCATTTATATTTAGATTCCAGAGTATTGCAAATCCATGGATGAGTTAGAGATAGCTGAAAATGCGTTTAATTTGATTTTTGCATTTGACGAAATTGTGGCCCTTGGCTACAGAGAAAATGTTAATTTGGCGCAAATCAGAACATTTGTCGAAATGGATTCGCACGAAGAGAGGGTGTACCAAGCAGTCAGATTCACACAAGAGAGAGAAGCTAAAAACAAAATGCGAGAAAAAGCGAAAGAACTTCAGCGGCAGAAAATGGAAGCCAATAAAAAGGGAGGCAAGAATCCTGGTTTTGGCAGTAGTTACGGTAGTGGAAGCAGTTTTACGCCCACTGCTAATATCGGAGACACTGCCAATTACATTCCTGAACCTACCAAGCCCACTTACACATCGATGCAGTTAGTATTTCATTTCTTTAATCTAATCGCACCCATGAAATGGAAGTTTTATTAAAAATTTATTTCAGAAAAACTACTTCTGCTAGTGCAGGAGCAATGAAATTGGGTGGAAAGACTAGAGATGTTGATTCATTTGTTGATCAACTCAAAGAAGAAGGTGAAAACGTTTCATCTGTTGCAGCTACTACGATAGTAAAGGCAGCAGCACCGATTAGTTCGAGTGCTCAAAACACAGAACCGTAAGTCTTGTTTTTGAAACAAGTCTACTACTTTGTTCAAACTATTGCAAAAAAATGTACCAAATTTATATACTACTTTATATTTTTATAGGGTCCATTTGAAACAAGAGGAGAAGCTGAATGTAAGGATCAGCAGAGATGGTGGGGTGCAAAATTTCGAGTTACATGGTTTGGTAACATTAAATATATCAGATGAGAAATGGGGTCGTATTCGTGTACAATTAGATAATAAAGACACGAGAGGGATGCAGCTACAAACGCATCCAAATGTGGACAAAGAGTTGTTTAGGACAAAGGGACAAGTAGGCTTGAAAATTCCATCAAAGCCTTTCCCACTCAAAACAGATGTAGGTGTTTTGAAGTGGCGTCTACAAGCTCAAGATGAAACTGCACTGCCTATCTCCAGTATGTTAAAATTAAAAGTATGATAGTTTGATTAAAAAAAATTTTTTTACCCAATTTTTTTTATTTTATCTTTTAGTCAATTGTTGGCCTTCTGAGAATGGTGAAGGAGGGTGTGATGTAAACATTGAGTACGAACTTGAACATACAGATCTTGAGCTAAACAACGTTCAGATAAACATTCCACTACCAATAAACGGTAATCCAATTGTAAGTGAATGTGATGGGCAATATAATCATGAATCAAGAAAGAATTTGTTAGTGTGGTCATTGCCGATAATTGATGCTTCAAACAAATCTGGATCCATGGAATTTGCGATTGCAAACTCGAGACCTTCAGATTTCTTCCCACTGCACATTAGTTTTGCATCTAAAACATCTTATGCCAAGATTAATGTAAGATTGAACGGAATAACGATTTTAAAAATTCTTACAGCTCTGGCAAATTTGAATGTATTAATAATTAAACGTTCCTTTGTAGGTTACTGATGTTATGCTTGTTGAAGATGACGGTCCTGTGAAGTATTCTGTGGATACGGTCTTTTTCTCTGAAAATTATGAAGTGGTGTAGCTCAAAAAGTCATTTGCTATTTTCATATGTGTATTCATAAGGCTGTTTGTATTAAACACAAATAGTAAAAAATATATAATTTGAGTTAAGTTTGCATGTATCAAACTGCTTGGTGATTAAGATTGTGGAATCAAGTTTGTGAGAAAAATACTTGTGTTGTATACAATGTGAGAGATTTTTCAAATGCAAGAAAATCCACAAATGTGTATAAAAATAACTCTGTTGACACAACAGCAAAATTATCAAGGATAAATAAACACAAAAATAATTTTTTGTTATTTAACAGTTGAATTATTGTGCACCTAAATTTTTTCATTCAATATATATACCAAATACTTTGCAGCAGGTATCACTAACTAAAATAAAAAATATCTTAATGATTTCTGCCCTCACTCGCTGTTATATGTACTGATGAGAACTGAGATCTGAGATATATATGGAAAAAATGTATCCAATGTGTCTCTGTGTCAGATGTATCATGTCAATCATGTTCATGTAATTCATGTCATTCATGTTTCATGTAATCATGTATTCATGTGTACTAACGCGCATGCGCTTTGATCGAAAGGAAAATATATTTCCACTAACTCCAAGTTCTTCCGCTTCGCAACCGCAAGTGCGTTTACTTTTTTATCTCGTCGTCGCAAGTAAAAATCTTCGACTCTCTCAGAGGTCACCGCGACAGTAGGGTAGCTGTCGTGCACGCTGCAGAGAGAATTTATAAAAAGCAACACACGCCCACGGATATATCAGTACAGCGCCCTGCATTAGCGTGTGAGATAGTCCGCGCTAGCCAAGTGTAACAGAGTCGCATTTTCATTCACGTCAATTATTTGTCGTAACGGGAAACGTTTTTTCGACGAATTTTCGATAGTCCTGGAAATAAGTATAGTCGTCGTTGGAATTGTTTTTTAATTCACCGCGAAAAGTGTTGTCGTTGCATAATGAGTACTTTAACGACCGCGATCATTGACACGGTGACTTTTGAAGGTCAAAAGCCTGGCACATCTGGTCTTCGCAAGGCCGTCAAGATATTTCAGCAGCAACACTACACGGAAAACTTTATCCAGGCGATACTTGACGCTCTTGGCACCAGTTTGGCTGGAAGTACGCTCGTTGTCGGTGGTGACGGTCGTTATTACAGCAAGGAAGCTGTTCAAAAAATCATCAAAATTGCCGCGGCCAATGGGGTACGAGTGGCTAAACTTAATTTTTTTTTTTTTCATCTCAAATTTTTTTGTCCTTAAAAATGTACATTTTTTTTTTTTTTTTACAAACTCTTAAAAATGTTTTTTCACTGGAGTTATGCCTAGTACATCACTTTTTTATTTTTTGTTTTTTTCGTAGCTCAGGGAAATCACTTTATTGTCTCGTGCGTTCGTACGTACAAACATACAGATGCATTAAAGATACACATTTTTTAGTTGATGGGGCCATCAATTACGCTATACATACATCTACGCTTCTTGGAGATAAGAATTTTTTATTTGCAGCTAAATTTTCCTTCAAAAATGTACAGTTTTGAGATATCTTGTAACGAATATGTTCGAAGTGCATAAATTTTACATAAAAGTATCGTTGTTTGAACACGTTATCTTAAAATTAAAAAAAATTTTTTTTCTTTGTTTTTTTTTTTTTACTTGCGACACATCCAAAATATTACACGATGACGATGAAAGGGCGTGCTTGTGTCCTCTGATTGTAACAACATAACAACGTTTCAAGGTGTCAAAATTACTGATCGGCCAAAATGGGATACTGTCGACCCCAGCAGTGTCGGCGATCATCCGCAAGTACAAAACATTGGGTGGCATCCTTTTGACCGCGTCGCACAATCCAGGCGGTCCCGACGGCGACTTTGGCATCAAGTTCAACTGCGAGAACGGGGGCCCGGCACCGGACGCCGTCACCAACAAAATTTACGAACTCACAACCAGCCTGAAGCAATACAAAATAGTTAACAGACTGCAAATCGACATCGACACCGTCAAGAGCACCACCGTACAGGTCGATGGAAAACCATTCACCGTCGACGTGATAGACTCCGTGGGCGATTACGTTGCCCTGATGAAGGAAATATTTGACTTTGACTGCATCAAAAAGCTCATTCAGGGATCGGATGAACGCCCTCCCTTCCAAATTCTCATAAACGGTCTCAACGGAGGTATGCATGCATACGACAAACCATAATAAATTCCTGCTGTGTTTTTACAGAGTAAAACAAATAAAGACATGTTTTGTTTTTATCTACAGTAACCGGTCCATACGTCAAGGAAATCTACGGCAAAGAGTTGGGCGTCAGTGACGCGAATTTGGTTAACTGCGTGCCCAAGGAAGATTTCGGCGGTCTGCATCCAGATCCGAACTTGACTTATGCCGCAGATCTCGTTGACGCGGTTAAGGCTGGCCCCTACGATTTCGGGGCGGCGTTCGACGGCGACGGCGACAGGAACATGGTACAAAATATATCCCTGCACTTTCGTCGATTGTTACGATGGTTCAACAACTAATTCATGGTTTAATTTCAGATAATCGGGAAAAAGGCCTTTTTCGTGAATCCCTCGGATTCCCTAGCAGTGCTAGCTGCCAATCTGAACGTCATCCCGTACTTCAAGAAGACGGGGGTCAAAGGGTACGCGAGATCCATGCCAACCGGTGCGGCGGTCGACAGGGTAGCTCAGAAAACGAACATCGAGTGCTTCCAAGTGCCAACGGGGTGGAAGTACTTTGGAAATTTGATGGACGCCGGTAGATTGTCCCTGTGCGGTGAAGAAAGTTTTGGCACGGGGTCGGATCACATCAGGGAAAAGGACGGGATTTGGGCGAGTCTTGCTTGGCTGAACGTCGTGGCCAGTCTCGGGAAATCGGTCGAACAGATTTTACTGGATCAATGGAGCACTTACGGTAGAAACTTTTTCACGAGATACGATTACGAAAATTGCGATGCCGACAAGTCGAATGATATGATGAAGTACATCGAGGATTTGATCGGCAAGCCGGAATTCGTTGGAACAAAGTTTACGTCGGGGAGCAAAACTTACGTTGCCAAAGAGGGTGACAATTACTCCTACAAGGATCCGATCGACGCTAGTGTGGCATCTAAACAAGTCAGTTTTATCATACATATACACAAAATAGCTATAGATTATTTGTAACTTGAAACTAACATTGAATTAATTGTGTGTCCTTTGTTGACTTCAAAATTCAGAAATTTTTTTTTTCAATTGTTATGCCGATTAAAAAAAAATACACTCATTTTGGACTTGAAAACTACACGCGATTACTTTAAATAGTGCTGTTGGAAAATTCTTATTAATTTTTTTAAGCGAAAACAAAAAAAAATAAACACGCTTTTTTCAGAGATTTTATAGGTTTTTGCTATTGAAACATTGTTCAAAATTAAGTTAGAAAAAAAAACAACAGTATACAGTATTAAAGAAGCTTATACTGTCCAGAAAATGATGATCAATGGTTTTTTCAGGGTCTTCGAATATTATTTGAAGATGGTTCCCGGATAATTTTTCGCTTATCTGGTACCGGAAGTTCTGGGGCCACCATTAGATTATACATTGAAAGCTACGAGTCTGACCCTGCCACTTACACTCAAGATCCTCAGATGGTTCTTAAGCCCCTCGTTGATATTGCCCTCAAATTGAGTAAGCTTCAAGAATACACTGGGCGCGATAAGCCGACTGTAATTACGTAAACATACTTATACAGAATTGTTTATAATTGTACCGCACAACTTTACAAAAATTTTTATCGTGTTATATGTATAATATATAAAATATATTTACTATGAAAAAAATGATAATTTATAAATATATTTTATAGTTATTGTTGTAAGACTGTTTTTGTAAAAAAAAAAAAAAACAATA